CATACATACATACATATATATAGATATATATACAAACGTACATATAGATATACATATATCATACATACACATATACATACATACATATAAACAGCATACGTATTACTGCAAACTTAGCAAAGCTAGCAATCGAGTTTGCTACACATACATACGTATATATATATATACAGCATATCATACATATATACATATTATGTACTGCAAACTTAGTACAGCTAGCAATCGAGTTTTGTTAACACATATAACACATACATATATATACAGGAATTATGCATACACACAACACACACATATAGTTGATCTCCAATAGGAGTGGGCGAAGATAGCAAGCAAAAGCAAGCAAGAAACAACCAAGGAGATATTATTTCTCCTTGGATATCGAAGTGGAAGCCGTAATGTGTGGAAGCAAAAATATACGAGATAGAGAGGGTGGTTGTGGGGGGAGGGAGTTGGGTAGAGAGGAAAAGGAGGGAGAGAAGCAGCAGCAGAAAAGACGGCCAGTGCACTGCTCGCACATTCGTCCTACGTTTCGCATCTTATGTATTTACTACATACGCACGCACACGAAAGTGCATTCATGCATGCGTGCGTGCGTGCGTTGTGCTGTTACTGCTACTTTTGCAACCTTGAGAGAGGTTCTTTGTGCGGTTCAGCGCGTTTCTTCTGAGCGCTTATCTTTTATATATATTATATATAGTATGTTCAATATGTTTAAATATTTATTATTAAATTACCTTTATTATTATTATTATTATTAATAATTCAATACGCAAATTAAAAAGAAAATGTGATAATACTTTTTTTTTTTTAATCTTTTTCAGTAATATTTTATTTCTGTAATAGAATGTGGTATATTGAAAATATTGAAAAGATAAAAAAAAATACCAAAACTATTGAATTATTATATTAAGATTATAATGATTAGTACACTTAAAAGTTAGAAAATTAAATAATCTCTTTCAAATATTCAATATGTTGTCTATTTATGTTATAATATTATTTATATTATATTATTAATGTTATATAATATTATAATTTATCGTATAACAATATATGTCTGTCTATTAAAATAATCTTAATAATAAGAAAACTATTTATATATACTACAGATTCGCGTAGTATATATTTTAAGTTAACTTATTCATTGAACACAAAATATATATTTTTAACTTTATTTTTAAATTTATCCCTTTAGTCTGTCTAATAACTCTTCTAACATAAAGTTTCCCTTTCTATTTCCGTTTCGTGTAACACAAGCGTGCTATTTCACACACATACACATATCAATACATACCTATGTCTTTATTAGCAACCAGCAGTGTTCACTTAAACACACACTTGTTGTGTGTGTTCGAAGAAGAAGAATAAGAAAAAAGTGAATAAGAAGCGTGTGGTAGTTTAGATGGAAAGTCATCATTTTAAGAGAAAGAGAAGAATGACTAGTTGGGTTGGTGATGTCTAGTCTCGATGCTACGAAACGTCTTGTTCGGTGAATCATCGAAGACACAAGACAAAACGAAGTTCTTTCTCCTCCACGAGAATATAGTAAATGGGTATTCGAAGGTTATTGCTGTTCTGCTACTTTACGAAACATGTGTTCTGTTACACACCATCGTTCTTTCTTTCTCTCTTTCTTTCTCTTTAATAATTTCAGGAACTTACTCTCATCGTGAATATAATCTAAACGAGAGTCAGCATTTCTGGGAAAATTTCGATGGTTTATTTTCTCAATTAACGTCTCACCCAAATCCCCCCTTCCCTTCTCTTTCCTGTCTTTCTTCTTTCTTCACATATATACCTTCTCTCTCTCTCTCATTCATCTTTTTTTATTCATCGTATAGAAAATTAAACATGGACAAACACACGTGACGTAATTTTTCAACGGTACGCATCAAAATTCGTTGAGAATATATCTGGAAACGTGATTAACATTCTCTCTCTCGTTCTTTATTGTAATCTATAGTTATATATATATATATATGCGCGTGTGTGTGTGTTTGCGTGTGTATTATCATGCGTAACACGTGGTCTTTTTTTTCTTATAAGCTCGTTAATAAACGAGCAAACGTTAAAATTGGCACGGCTTTTTGCATATCTCCTTCAAAGATCGTACGAAATTATCCAAGCAAGGATAAATGTTGAATGTTTTCATTCAAATATTGAAGAAAAAAAATAAATACCGCGAAAATTCAAATAATATTTGTCTTTCACCTGAATATAATATATTCTGAGGAAGATCATTTGTGTATTTCTGTAATATAAACTTCACATACACACATATACACTTTCGATATTATTTTTTTTTTCTATTATTTACTGAGTACCACAAAAAAGATAACAGATAAAAAAAAAATTACAGAAATAAAAATTATGTTCGTTCGTATCTTGTTCTCTCATATATACATACGTAATAAATACATCGAACATATTCCGATAAGAAAACAATGCACAAATAAGAGTATTTATAAACGTATTATTATAATACGTATATAGGTGTGCTACGTTAAATAAGTATGAACATGTATATATGTATATATTTGCGTAAAAAAACATTGGTTATATAAATAATAATTTAGAAACACGTTAAATGCGATAATGCGCATACATATCCGGTCAGCCATGATGACAACACGACTACGACTACCACTGAAACCAAACTTGTATTAAATCTTTTCGAAAATAATAACAAAAAAAAAACAACAACACAACAATAATACGATTTAAAAATAGTTATTGTTGTTTAGGAAGGAGGAATGAAAATCAATGTTAAATAAAAGAAAATAAGAATAATAAACATCGAAAAAATAAATCGAATTAAAGTTTGGGAAAGGAGAGTGGGGTTTAGGGGACAAAAATGATTGGCTGAGAATGTAAAATGGCGGTTGCTGACTGACTACCCGCACGTTCATGTGTGTATATATATGTGTGTGTGTTTGTGTATATATATATCTGACTGCTTATCTTTCGTGCTTGGAAATTTCCATTCGCGTTTATATCATGTAAACCTATATGTATTCTTGTGTGCGTGTTTCGAATGATGTTTTGTGTTTGTGTGAGTATCGTACACGTACGGATAGATGTTTATGTGTGTATACTTCGATGAGAAATCGGTCTTGGACGGTTATTATATCGTCGTCGATTATGACAATACGATTTCTCGATGTGTTGGTTGGTTATGTGTCATTTAAAGAAACCGAAGCTTACTACAATCTAACACCACACATACACACAAGCTCGTTATTCTTTTCGTTGTGTTAAAAGGACTTTGGTATTATAAACGTGATGATAAACTAACGATGAAGGAACGTGTTAAAAAAAAAAAAAAGAAAAAAAAATTCATCAACCGTGTATGTGCGTCTTGTTGTGTGTACAGTGTTTTGCGTGATTTCTCTCTTTCTCAAGTTTTGCGATACTCGAGAATAATGTAGTCTCCGTGTTACCTGTTAGATTTTTTTTTTCTTTTTTTTTTTTATCTAAGCAAAAAAGTAGCATCGAGATATTTTCAAAGCAAGATTTCCTTTATGCGCGCACCAAGAGAATGTTGATTAGTAAAAAAAAATGTAAAACCTCGACAAAACAAATTGACCAAATATTTTTTATTTGATTTTAGTTTTGTTTTTTCTTTTTTTAATCGAAGTTTAATTAGAAAAAAATTAATTCCATAGAAGAGTCAAAACTTTTAGATTTACTGACATCGTTAACTCCCATTTATTATTATATCTTAATTTTAAATTATTAAAATTTTATTTTTTACTTCAGCAAGAAAACAACAACCTTGTCGATGAAACGTTAAATAGTAAATAAAGAAAAGAAAATAGAGACTTGAATTAATATACTTTTCAAGATAATTCCTCGAATAAAATTAGTATTATATTTATAATTTTCTTTTTATTATTTTTATATACTTCTTTGTTGCTTATATTATTAGAATTCAGTCGGTTGAAAAAAAAAAACTGTAACAATTTATTTTTCAAGACGTGTTCTTATCAGAAGAGAAAATACGGTCTTATTGAGGATTTCGAAGTGTCAACAACTCGAATAATATGGCGTAATTCTCACGACGTTGTCGTGAAAGATAAATCACATAGTTACATTACTTTTGTCTTCTTTTTTCACGTATACACGTATATAATTATAATAGTATTGTACTAGTTATCATAATAGTTTTGTATGAGAAGAAGTGAGAGAAAGAAATATATAATCAACAAAAGATCTTTATTTCTATTATGTTTTTCTGAAGATGATAGAACGTTGTTGACGATATATTAACACACACATATTACAATTTTGTTTCAACAATATAAGAAAATTTTCCATAATGACAATTTTCTTTAATTTTTTTTTTTAAATCTTTCTATCTAAACATTTACGGGGGTGGGGGTAGTTTTTACCCGAAAAAAAATATAAAATAAAGTATCAAGTATTATTATCTGTAAAAGATTCTAAAAGTGGAAATTACGATCCCAAGTTTTAATCCCGTCTTTAACATAAAAATGTAAAATCGTAATTAAGGAGAACAATCTTCAGGAAGTTACCAAGCGCACGTTCTTCTTATTCTACTATCATCAATTAATACGACTATAAGTAACACCGTTATTTAAAGAAGATTAATACTTCCGATAGACTATTAAATAGAAGAAGAAAAACCTTGAACGAAGTAATTTTCTTTAATATCGAACTGCCAGTGTGTTTACTGGTTTCCGTTTTCAATATCATATAGAATCAGAAAATAATGTGAGATTTTATTTTATATTTTTTTTTTCTTTTTTTATTATTAAACTATAACTATCATTATCGAATCAAAGCTTTACGTAATAATTCGTTTTGTAATCTCTGTCAAGGTTCCTTCCTCCCATTAGATTTTTTTTCTATTTTTGTGTATATCTAATAATGTAGTATTGTAACTTACATGTAGATTAAAATATAACAACAAGAATAATAACAAAAAAAAACACCTAATTGATTACAATTATAAAGTAATTTTTTTTTTCTTTTTGCAGAACACGAATTCTACGAAGAGCAAGGAAACAGCAAATACCAGCGTGGTACCGATTTCATCTGTCAACAACAGTAACAATGCAACGAGCGGGGGTCACGCACCTCTTCGTCGTAGTTACACATCATTTGTGACGACGTTGATTGAACAACATCGTAAACTCGACAGGAGCGTTAGCGAACCAACGTCCCGTTACAAGACAGAACTTTGCCGACCGTTCGAGGAAAGTGGCGCCTGCAAATACGGGGACAAGTGTCAGTTCGCGCATGGGTATACCGAATTACGAAATTTGGCTCGTCATCCAAAATATAAGACTGAGCTATGTCGCACCTTCCATTCAATTGGTTTTTGTCCATACGGACCACGGTGCCACTTCATTCACAACTTCGAAGAGGCACGCATACATAATCAGAAGGTTAGCGACGAGATAGGCTTACCTCAGCCAAACATCTTGGGTCTTAATCCGTTTCTGGCGGCTGCAGCCGCAGCAGCAGCCGTATCTAACAATGCTGGTACAACTACAACAAGTAACAACAACACCAACAGTAATGCTGCAACAACAGCAGTCACGGTAGTTTCCGGTACTGTTGCTACTCATAACAACAACATCCCTACCCTGAATTCTACCAATTTTAACGTCGGTTTGCTCAAACGGATTGCTGTTGCTAGTTCGCCTCAAGAAGTAGCAGTTGCTGCAGTAACAGCCGCCGCTAACAATTCATCCCAAAATCTAATTAGAACAAATTCTTTGAATTCAGCTTATAGTTCAGCTAATGTATTTATTCCACCCTTGATCCGAACCAATTCTCTAAGCCTGGGCTCGACTCAACAACAACCACAACAGCAACATCATCACCAGCCACAACAACAACAACAGCAACAGCAGCAACATAATCATCATCACCATCATCATCATCATCGTCAAACTTGTGCCAATGTCGTCAGGAGTAGTTCAATCGTTGGATCAACCAGGCCAAAACCATTGAACCTCAGTCCAACTTTCTCACTTGGTAGTTCTGCGGATTCCGGTTCACCACCATCTAGTCTCAGTCAATCACCCACCAATTCAATGGCAAGTTTCTTTGGCGACGAACAAGGAAACTTAACGGCCAGTAATAGCCTGTCGACAACTGCATTCAGTTTTGGACATAATTTTGGATTAATCGAACCTAGACAAACTCCAAGTCCTCACACGAATCTTTGCAGTTCCTCCCTCAGTTCCGATGACATTGCACCTAGAACTCCATCACCGTTATCACCTAACGCCGAGTCAAGGTTACCCGTATTCAATAGGATCAGTAGCAACCTTGGTGACTTTGAAAATCTTAAGATCTAAATTAATTATTCTTAATCGTTACACTATCTTACACTTGTGCGCCTGTATGTGTTTTCTCTTTTTGCAACATCTTGAAAGAAAACATATGCGCTTGGTTTTTTTTTCCTTTTTTTTTTCCTCTTTTTCGCACATCGTATTTTTTTAAACGACGTTTTTGCAAATTTCCATCGATTTAAAAAAAAAAGCTATTTTTTAAAAATATTTCCTTAGAGAGAAATAGAGTTAGGAGTAGGAGGATGAAATTACGTAAAGAAAATAATAATTTCATTTTTTTGTTTACTCTATCTACTGTTTTTCGATAAGAACGAAGGAGGGGAGGGTTAAGATCGATCATTTTCTTCCTTTTCTTCGTTCTTATTTTTTCTTCACGCTTATTATTTAAAGCATTTTCTCTTTCACTTCTTTAATTCTATTTCTTCTGGTGCTTTCTTTTCTTTTCTCTTTTCTTAGAGAATTCTTTTTTTTTGAGCAACTCATCTTTAAAAGTAGTTTACTTACTATTAGTTATTAAACTACTATTTAAAGTTCTCTTTTTTTCCCCACCTTTCATATCCTTATTTTTCAATATTTTAATTTAATTATTTTCATTATTATATATTATTATTATTACTAACTATTTTAAATAATTCATATATTATTATTCTTATTAATATTAATATTATTATTATTATTATTATTATTATCATCATTAAATTAGATTAGATAAGTTAATTATTATTATTATTATTCTTAATAACACTTTAAATATTTCAATATATTTAAATATTATCTATTCTGTAATTAGCGATCGCGTTCTTAAAAACTTTTTCTTATTATTTTAAATTAGTTAAGAACAAGGAAAAAAAAGTAATAATAATAACAACAACAACATATTATTCTTAATTAGATCGTGCGTTTTTTTTTTTTATCAATCAAAAAACTTTAGTAGAGGAAAATCTTTCAATGATAATTAAACGAGAGATTTAATCCCCCCCTTTTTTTTTTCTTCCCTCTAACTAATTGATAGGCGTTCGTTTTTCTTTTCTTTGCATATTTTTTTACTCATTAGATTTAAATATCTGGTTTTTAAAAAAAACTACGTCTCGGAACAATGAATAAAATTATCCCGGAAAAATATCGTGACAGGATCATCTCGTGTGAATCTTTCATATATATATAAATATGTACACATTTATATATATATATATATATAGTTATATTTATATTTATATTTTTATTTATATTCATATTTATATATTATTTAACAAAATAAAGGAAAAAAATGGTATCATTACATAAAGTAGAGATAATTGATAAAAATTTCATTGTAGATAGGAGGATTAGAGTAGAAGAGGTGAGAGAGGAAGGAGGAAGATGGCAAAAAAAGAAGAGAATAAATCCTTTTTTTTTTCTTATTCCACGTGTTTTGGACTTTAGTTTTATTTTATTAATAATAATTTTATTTCTTACTATTTTTCTTTTTTTAATAATATATAAAGGGTAAAAAAAATACAAAACAAAAACGTCTATGGAAGATGTAACCATCTCTCTCTCTCTCTCACTTTCTCTCTCTTTTGTATTTCTTTCCTTGATTTATTTATTTATTAATTAATAAATAATTGATTCACACGAGGATCTTATAAAAAAAATACAGTTACATTTTAAATCCGGGGCAGGTATAACGTTGCAATATTATAATTTCCATTGAGAATTTGTAAAAAAAAAAAAAAAAAACGTTTACTATAATAGGAATAATAACAACAATAACAAAATGATAATTTTTTTTTCGTTTCTTCGGGTATATTTATTTACTGATTATTTCTTTCGGGTTTTTTTTTCTTTGATCGTGTCTCCCTTCCCTCCCCCCTTCTAATTATTTTCTTCTCTTTGCTAGTTTTCTTTTTTTGCTTTTTTGTTTTGTTTTTTATCGTGAACTACTGTCGTTTTGACATGAGTTGTGAGATGTTTTATCGTAGAAAAGGTAGAAGAGAGTTAAAAAGAAAAAAAAGAAAATTGATGAATTTTTTTTTTTTTTCATTTTTTTTTTATCTCTCTTCACAACTCTTTTCTCCAGAGGTAAAGGAAAAAAAATCGACTGAATGAATGAAAAAATAAATAAAAAGGAAGACAGACAAGCTGACGGACGAACGAACGAACGAACGAACGGAACGAAAATTTTCTTCTTTTTTTTTTTTTTACTAATTGAAAATTAGTATAACGACTTAGAGATGAGGTTTCGAAAAAAAAAACAACTACAGGGGTTTTACTGCCCTACCACCGGGGTTTATAAAAAAAAAACAATAATTGACAAGATTTGATTTGTGTGCAACAAACAATAATATAATATATAGACGCCCGATGATAATATAAAACGGATAACTAACGTAACAATAATTGCAACAAATTATAAATTGCGTATTGTTTTTTTTTTTTTTTTTAATCAAATTTTTTACCTGTGTTAGCGAAAAATATGCGCTAAGTTGTGCGTACACATGCAGAGAAAAAGTGAGAGATAGGAAAAAAAATAACAACACACAAGAAGAAGACGAACAAAAAAAATTGCGACCAATTGCGCAAACACGATTAAATTAAAAAAAAAAAATAAAAAAACATTTAATATTAATATATTATGACGCGCGTAATTTCCCCCCCCCCTTTTTCTAGTTCTTTTCTTCTTTTTTTTTTTTGTATTTATTACATTTTTTTTCTCATTTTTTCTCATTTTATATATACATATATATATATATACATACAGATATATATCCACGCACAATTAATCTTCTTACCCCTTCCCTGTTTAAGAAATAATAATAATAACAATAATAATCGTTTATTATAAGCTTCGTTCGTCTTCCATTATTATTATAAATTATATCGTAGTTGTAATTATGCGAAAGAACAAGATATAAAAAAAATGAATGATTGAAAGAAAGAGATGATACACATTTTTCTTTAATAATTAATACTTTGCATAAAAATGAAAGGAATTGAAATCGATTTATTCTTTTATTTAAAAAAAAAAAAAAAGAAAGGGAATGATAATTAAATAATTTAGAAACATATCCAACGGCAATGACTAATATCCCGAGATTATTTATTATTTATTTTTTTCTTCTTTTTGTTACAAAAAATTAAAAAATTCATCATGTGCAAGAAGAAATACATTTAGAATGACACACTAGTTTCAAAAAAAAAAAAAAGTTATTCTAATATTTTGTCTGTCTTGTCTTTCTCATTACCAAAAATTCTTATTTAAAAAGAAAAAAATTATTAAAATCGAGTATTAATTTAAAAAATTAAAAATAATATATATTTAAATACTTAGATACAGTGATTGCTTTGCGCTCAAAATTGATTTAAAAAAAAGAACATAAATTATGCAAATCAAAATTTTTCATTAAAAAAGAATAAAAAATATTAAACTTTTGCTTTTTCTTAGAAAGACTTTTGTTCAGAAATAAAAAAAAAATAATAAGAAAAGAACAAAGAAAAAGAAGCAAAAATTTGTAAATTTTAATATCAAATGTAAATTATTGTTTAAGAAATGCAACATTTTAATTATTACCATGAAAAAAAATCACATTGAGTATTTATTTAAAAGTAATTACCAGAATATAATATATTCAATGAGTAATTAACAAAATGTTCACATTGATTTTCTTGCATATAATTTTACTTTTGAAAATAAGAAGAAAATAATTATTTCTTCAATAACACACATTGAAGAATAACTATTATTCGAATTCATTGAAAATAACATTAATCAATTAATATTGTTAAAATCTATGTATCAATAAATTTTGTATCTAGTGAATTTGATTAGAAAAGAAAAGAAAAAAAAAGGGAAAAGATCTAATTTGATTTGCATAATGGTGTAAATTTTGAGTATAAAAGTATTCCCCCCCCCCCAGGTACTATTATACGAAAGACTACATTATGTTCTTCAGGCAAGATAATAATTTTCAAGAAAAAGGTATAAGACGGGTAGTGGTGCGATGAGGTTTGGGAAGAAGGGGGGTTTTTGTTTGCGTGGGCGCGAAGAATTTTATTTTCAACGAATCAAAACAAATTTAGTCATAAATATTTACTCATACACGTGTGCTTCTTATTTAATGTTTTCTTTTTTTTGGTAACATCAGTACGTAAGTGGGTGTTTGGAGGAGTAGTTGAATTGTTATTTATATCGGCGATAATATAATTTATATAAATGCTATTTATTCCATTCGTTCGTAGAATTATTCCCCCTTTCCAACTCGTCAATCGGTCACTTCACTTTTCCTCTCTTATGCATATTTTTTTGATTGTTTATTATCGTGATGAAGAATATATTGTCATTCGTGTAATTGCATTTAATTTTTGTTTTATTTTTTTTTTTTATTATTACTATATATATATTTGATTGTATTTTTAAATACGTACATAAATTATTTTGAAGCAATATTAAGTAAATAAAAATAGTGATACAAAACAAATATATATATAAATATATATATTTATAATATATAATTATTTAAAAATACATATTAATACAATACATCGTGATAAAGAGCAAAAATCGTATTTTGTAGTATATTTAAATCCATGCAAATATTATATATATATAAATATATATATATAATACTGTTCTTTTTCATAAATGCTAAGGAAGGAGGATGTGTGATATCTTTTTATTAATATTAATAGAACATATTCTATTATTAAAAAGAAGAAAAAAAAACAAATGGTTAAGAGGAGGTGGAGGAGGAGAAAGGTGCCGAATTTATTGTCGTTAGACAAAAAAAATTATATATTTCCAACTAATATTATTCTATTTTCTCAATTTATATGTTATTTTTCTATTTTTTTTTCTATTTTGGATAAACTAAAAACTGTTATGTTTCAAACCCGACTCGAAGAAGTAATTAAAATAATGCATTGAAAAAAGACTGCATATATTATTAACAAAGGAAAAGAAAAAAAATAAATTAAAAGATTTATTAAGTATATAAAGATCATTCAAAAGGAGAGCAAAATTAAAAAAAAAAAAAACAAAACAAAAAAGAGAAAAATTCTTTTTTTTTTTTTTTGCATTATATTCGTCACCTTGGCTACTCCTAGATATTTAATATACAATAATTTAAGTAGAAAGAATATAAACGATAAAA